GGCATAAGTGTAGGGACTGGTCTTTTGCACACAAAAAGAGAGCGAGCGAGAGAGAGCACCTCAGTTCATTTCTACACCATTCACACTCGATGTTTAGGACACAATTTCACAAATGCGTACTGGACCACCTGTACAGATCGTAACTATGTTGTTGTTGCTGTCACAACTGACCTATGGTGACCCTGTAGGGTTTGCAAGGCAAGAGACGTTCAGAGGCAGGTTGCCATTGCCTGCCTCCATGTCATGACCCTGGTATTCCTTGGAGGTTTCCTATCCAAATACTAGCCAGGGCCAACCCTGCTTAGCTTCTGAGATATGACAAGATCAGGTTAGCCTGGGCTATCTAGTTCAGGGCTCATAGCTGTAGGTGAAGTGAATATTTTGGCATGAAAAGGGAAGATTTAGGGCAGGCTGAAAGGTTCTCAAAAAGGTCCCACAAACATAAAGGTTCTTTAGAATCAGTCCACTGGTATTTGCTGCTGCCATTTCAGTAAACTTGTTTATTGTAAAATCAGCCTTGTTTTCCCCAGTAGAAGTGAAGCTATCTTCCTCATCTAATATATTAGCTTAAAACTATAAGCCAAACTTTTGTAGTAAGGGGTCACCATGATAAGACAAGTTATCTGGGAATAGGGGGTTAGGGGAGGGGAAAGGATATAATGCCACAGAGTCCACCCTCCAAACCAGCCATTTTCTCCAGGGGGATGGATCTTTGTCTTCTGGAGATCAATTTTAATTCTGGGAGATTTCCAGGTCCCTCCTGTAAGTTGGCAACCCTTGTGTACCTTCAGTACAGGTGGAGGAACAAACATTGCAAAATGGTATACATTTCTGTCAACATCCCCAAACATTCAATAAAGGACCGTGGGCATTTGCAAATGTTTGTACGTGATGTTTACAAAATGTGTGCACACATACACTGCCAGATATTTCCTATTTTCAAGCCATAACCTTTCCAAACTGGGGAGAACTACCAAGTTAAACACTGATTAAAAATAAATCTTTTCTGCAAACTACTATTCCCAGATTTCCCCAGCATGACTTTCTGCCAGGGTTCATGGGGATTGTAGTTTTCTCAGCATCCTGAATTGAAAGAAATAGCTTGAGAAGAGTAATTTGAAGGAAAGACTGGCTCCTCTTAGGTAGTATCCAGTAGTGTCCTTTGTTTAAAGAACTGGTCCTTGATAGTTTGTTATTCTGCCCCTCTTTGAAACATGAGTTTGTGGCTTGGAAGATGGCTGTGTTAGCAGTAAACATTTCACAAACTACTTCAAGTTTGGAAGAGATTCAAAATGGTCTGGGCCAGTCACAAAAAATGGTGTGAGGGTTTCAAGCAAAGGACATTATTTGTGCTCCCCTTCTTGAAGATAATCAGCATCATTGAACTCAATTATATATGGAGTGCAGCAAAGTTTAATACATTTTGATGTCAATTTCGGGAAGAAAATATAGTTTCTCTTTGGAGCCTAAAACCCCTTAATATGCCTAGCGATGAATTCATGACATGAGAATACATTTTATTCTCAATAAAAGAAAATCATTTTCACTTTAGATACATTTTACAATGACATCGATTGATACTGATGACTCCAGGGCCATGTGTACATGTCGACCATAGAACTAGAGAAGCCAGCTGATGGTCTATTGAAGGGAAAGTTTCTAGTTTCTTGTTAGATCTGGAGATGCACTGCTCACCCCATCTGCTTTGTTCTTTTGGTTGTAATCACAATGGCAAAACTGTTAGTCTTCGTTGTTGTTCTTTCCTGCTCTGCCAGAACCATAGCCCTAGTCTCTCAGAGCAGCTGTCTCTTAGATTTTTAGTCAGTGTGATCCATTGGGGAAAATTTCCTTCTAATTTCTAATAGTCTTCACTCCTGTTTCTTCCTGTAGGCTGCATTGTGACACAAACTAGACACCTACCTTATCTTCTAGTTCCTTTTCTTGTATTCCCATAGCATTTTGAGCCCACTTGTCTCTAATATACTGCAGGGAATTCACACGTGTTTGATATGAGCAGGTATAATGCCATTCTTGTTCTTGCATGGCTCAACTAGGCAGTACAATGGCTTTTTCTAAGGTTCAGGCCCAGAATGTAGGTAGCGTTCCCAGGGGTCGTTTCGTAGAAAAAGAGCTAAGGGAACTCATTAGCATAACTCATTAGCATATGCCACACCCCCTGACATCACCGGAAGTGTGTCATAAGGCCACACCCCCTGACATCACCAGAAGTGTGTCATAAGGCCACACCCACCACTCAGTTAGTCTTAGTCTTAAAGGTTAGTCTTAAAGGTGCTATTTGTTAGTCTTAAAGGTGCTATTTGAACTCTTGGACTATTTTGCAGCAACAGACTAACACAGCTACCTCGGGGAAGCTCCTGTATGGGGCTGGGAGTCCTTGCGGAGGCCACGTGGAGTGGCCTCGGCCAGGCAGAGGGGGAGGACGCCAACTTACCCTCCTGCTTCTTCCTCCTTCTGCAACAGAATGAGGCTGGAAGCAGGGGGCGGCCGGAAGAAGGGGGCAGGCCTTCGCCATGTGCCCACTCCGCCCCTGGTGCCCCGATCCGAGCCCTGGTGAGGAAGCCCCGCGAAGGGGCCCCCCCACCCTCAATGGTCCCGGCTGGCGGGAGTGCGAGGAAGCCCCGCGAAGGCCCCC